CATTTATGATGTGCCCAAGGGGTGTGCGATAGACTTACCTCCACGTGGTGCACCCTGGGCAACGTATACTCATAAGGCAAAAAAGTCTATAAACCGGCATTTGACTTCTGGCTTCAAAATACCATGGCCCGACTGCTCGTCATATTCGAACCCTTTCACAGTACTCATCTTACCTTTTTCCCTACCTTTGTGTCTGTCTGCCTCTTTTACATCTGCGAATCGCTCTTCTGTTCCCCACCCCTCGACTTTCTGCTACTTTGATGAACCTTCACTCTGTGAAGCCCGAAGTCAGCTAAATGGCTAATGATAGCCATTTGAAATAAATAAATAAATGATGTGCCCACAGTCTCCAAGTCTAAAATGGTTAATAAAATTTTATAAATTATTAGCAAACTAACTGGCGGAATGTGTCGTATGATTTTGAAAAAAAAAGTATTTTAACTTTGACAGATTTTCTAACCTTCCATTAACTGCTGCAAAACTATGGGCGCGATAAGCAACTTACTCCTTTTTTTCAGCTCATTAAAATGCAAATAAGCGTCCTGTTGCGGAGAGGTAAAGGTGAGAAGGTAATTACTGCACCGAAAGGCTCACACCGCATGTGCATAAGTGTGGCGCGAGCGAATGAATTTTGCATTTTAATGACCTAACAGCATGAATTTGAAAATAATGGAGAGGCCACGCACTGATGACGCCTTCTCAAACACTTTCATTTTAATTAGCGTAGTGATTTAAATATCACTTGAAGGTGAATAACTTTGAACTTTTATGACTTTAAAGGATAAAAATGCATTTCTTTTAAAAGGTGACTTATTAAATAATGGAAAATTTGTATGTACCAACCTCTAGATGTGGACATGTGGAAAGATGTTAATTTGGTCTGCTGGAAAAAAGTCACAAATATCTCCTCACTGAAATTTCTTTTAGGTTACCAGATTCCACCAAAAAATCAAAGGCAATGCTGGGGCAAATCCATACGACCGAAAAGAGGGTCCTTTACGTTGTCTCTTTTCTCCATGACGAAAGACCCAGCAAAGTCACTTGCCAATAAAAAAGGAATTTATCCAAGAAGTGAAGCCAACTTTATACGAGTATTCGGTGGAAATGCGTTGGTCTTAATATCTTGGTGAAATTATTGTTCTAAAAGAAGTACTATTGTCAAGAGCCATAAACTTCACCTGAAAGACTGTAATTAAACCTTTATGCAAAAGTCCTATCTCCAGTTCTGGCATTAAGTACAATATTAGTTTAACTTTGAGGAATTCTTTCGTGATGAAAGTTAAGGTCAGATAAATTTAACGGAAGTGTAGGTAGATAATTCCAATCAGAAACAGGGTTGTATATGGATGAAAATCGCGAATTCGCCTACAATGATTTCTCATTTAACTTAACTCTTGTCAAACGAATAAAAATTTCTGCCTTGGAAGAATAATAATTACACTTATTTCTTCAAATCGGTATTTTTAAATTAGTCTTTACCAATTCATTGAAGTTGAGTGGGGGTTCTGATCTGGTGTGAAATGAGCCTTTCAACACGTGGTCCTCAGAAGTTACTGATCAGCCTTTTGTGGCAAATGATAGCATTATACTGGCAAATCCTATCAACTCAAATAAAGGCAAAAGGGAATGGTTATAGTGGTGAAAAGATACCGGAGTCGTTTCACCACGTTACAAAATTTGTTTATATTTTAAATCCTGTTATTTTATGTTTATTCTCTCAAATTTTACTGTATACACTAATCGCAGATAGGTAAAAACATAGATTCAAAACTTTAGAAGAATGAATTCGACTCGTAAAAAGGTAGTTGAAACTGGCTAAGGATGAACAATTGGCACAAAATCTTCAGTAATTAAAATGAAAAATAAAGTTCAAATGCATTTGAAGCTATGGATAAATGTTCGCGATTCGTAAGTCAATTAAGCTTGAATCATTTTTACGATTTAAAGGAAGGTCAAATCGAAAAGAATTTGATTTTAAAACCCAATGTCAGAAGGTTGTTTACCAAAATGTATGATATAAGTTAGATTAGATAGTGGCTTAAAATGAAAAACAAACAGCAAAAAATTTGCTTTTATTCAGCTAAAAGATCAAGTAATTTTGCAATTTGCTTCTTTTTTAAATGAACGCATAAAATAGCACACTATATTCCAAACAGCAATGAATATAAATAAAATTCATCTCAATAATAAATATTATGTTGCCTTATTTATTTACTATGCATTCCACGTGTTATTTTGTTTGATTTACGCATTGCGTTTAGGCGACTCAAAATAGATAATATTAATTATAATAAGTTGTTTAAATATACGTCCTCCAAGCCCCGATATACGATCACTTGCTTACGCTGGTGGTTTCGTGATGTTGGATTTCTTCGTTATTTTAAGTCGGAGTGGCATTGTTCTGTGGTACATTAAAACCACTTCGGAATGTATCACCACTTCTATCAACACTTTTCTAAGGTCCCTGATTCTTAAGGTACATCATTATGCGGATTTATTATTTTGTAGGAAAATCTTAGCAGTGGGGCAATTGTACACGAAAATCTTGCGATGAAGTACTATATGGATAATGAATTCGATTTAATATTTATCGTAAATTCTCCATTTTTACTAATAAATACTTAGGCTGGTTATCAAAACATACTGCAATTAAGCTATGTCGATAAATTCCTAACAACTATCGCATTGGAATTTAGAGATAAATATAAAAATGATTTGCTTCAAAAGAATTTATTTGGATACTTCGAAAACTTTAAGCCTCAATACGAAAATAAATTACGGGAAATTGAGGCCGATTCAAGAAAATCGGCCAAATCCAATAAGTATGATTTTCGTTTCTTTTATTTTCATCCTTTTTAGGCCTATGAGAACATTCGAAGAATCGTTGAAGTCAAAGAAGACCATCGCTTCGATGATTGTTAATAAGGAAAAGGAAAATGGAACATCTGTGATAGAGAAGAAGGTTATTGAAGAACCTCCCCAAGCTCAACCTATTTTTGATGAAAGCATAAGTATATAGCCGCAGACACGTTATTTTAAATTCATTAATCTTCTCAGACTCTAATTTTTTTATTTTTAGTTCCCCTCCAAGCAAGAAAAACAATGAAAACGAATTCACCTAATGTTCGAATGGCTAAAGGTGGCAAAAAACAGAAAGGCACTAATGGGTATTTATTTCAAATAATTTTGTAGTCTGTTTAAATGGATAATGTTATGTTGTCTTGTACTTTTCAGAGCCTCCGAATCACCTGGTGCTGCCAAACCTGGTAAGAAGGTTAAAATGAATCGTCGTTGGACAGATGAAGCTGTGGGAGAAGAAGCGGCTGCTTTGGACTATAGCTCAGGAAATGGCGTTTCTGTCACCTCGGCGGTATCTAATGCAGGTAAAAATGGTGTATCATCTGAAGAGCTCAAGCTCAGCGCCAATGAAGCCGAAAACCTAATTAAACTTCGTGGAACCCTTCAGGAGGGTTTTGATGAACTCAGGGTGTCTTCCGATGAGGAAGAGGAAGAAGTTTCCACTGATAGTGAAAACGAAGATTTAGATCCTCAAGATACCAATGGAAATGCATCCAAGGTAATTAAAGAATTCTTTTATTTTTTACTGTTAGGGAATTTCAGATTGGCTGTTACCTTTTGGCTCACATATCTTTAATTTATTGACTAGACTGCTAGTTTAGGTTATTACAGATTTATTTCCTTTCGGGATTTCAATTTAAAATAAGTAATAATAGTTATGGGTGTTTCAGAAATTTTCCAAACGTGTATATGCTACTCTATTCAGTAAGATTTTTACCAAGGAAGCCCTTATGGAACCACCAGTTGTCATTGTATTCACTTTGTGTGCATCGATGGATATTGGACCCGCTACCTCTGATTTCACACTAATCACGTTTATCACTGCGTTGATGGCACACACTGCAGATTTTGCTCACTTTTTTATTTTGAAATTGACATTTGGTATCTAATATTACTAAAAACAGTAGAGAAATTAGAAGAAACCACTAGTATGCTCGAAAGGTACTCTTCGAATTTGACCAGAATTCATATTTAGTACATTTTAATCTAATGTCTTTTCACCTTTTTTTCGGAATCATCACTGGTGTAGTCTTATTTTTACCCTTTTCACCTAACTTGCAAATTTAAAGCCCTATGTAACGTTTTCAGTCCACCAAGTCGAATAGTTTCCTATCCTCCCTGTTGCAAAATTTGAAGTCCACGGCCACAGGCCGGGTGTTGACAAGAGAGGACATCCAGAAGCCCTTGGAACAACTGCGTGATCATTTGGTTCAAAAGAATGTTGCCTATGAGATCGCCACGCGGTTGTGTGAGGGTGTGGCCGAACGTCTTGTAGGTGTCCAATTGGGCCGCTTTGAACGAGTGGGTCCCCGTGTCCGTTCGGCGTTGGAAGAGGCTTGTACGCGTCTCCTCGCATCTGGTCGACGTGTTGATGTCCTGCGTGATGCTCTCGACTCCCAGCAAAAGGGAAAACCTTATGTCATTGTCTTCTGTGGAGTTAATGGCGTCGGAAAGTCAACTAATCTTGCCAAAGTAAGTTGGTTTCATTGGAATTTATGCTCTAGTGATCTTGTTTGGAGTTTTAAACCATCAGTTGAAATACTCATTCCAGTTACTAGTTTACTCAAATCCTTCGATTTCTGAAATGGCAGTCCTACGTCTTACCACGACATTGCCAATGCAAATACCCCTTATTTTGAATGAATAAGACTTTTATTCCGTGCACTAAAATGATTAATCTCATTGTTGTAGATTGCCTTCTGGTTGATAGAAAAGAATCTCAAAGTTTTAATAGCTGCCTGTGATACTTTTCGTTCTGGAGCTGTGGAGCAGCTGAGAACACACGTACAGAAGTTGAATTTCATCCACCCACCCTCCCAACACGGTGGAGAGACTATGGTCGAGCTCTACGAGAAGGGCTATGGCAAAGATGCTGCCAACATCGCCATGTCGGCTATATCTTATGGTATGCTTTTCTCCCTATCATTCAAGTCTCTTTGTGCCTTTTATTTATGAGGACTATATTTAATTAATTAAGCGATACTTTTTCTCGTATTTCAGCTAAGGATCAGCATCGTGACGTAGTTTTGGTTGATACTGCTGGTCGCATGCAAGACAACGAACCCCTTATGAGATCTCTTGCTAAGGTGAATTTATTTCTGCTTGTGGAAATCTATTTTCTTCCTTTCAATGTTTAAGGTTTTTTCAGAGTGATTAGCCATTGTCTCGATTGCCTAGACGATATTATTTGATGTGAGTGGTTTTATTGAGTTAGGGGTG